GAAATTATTAGCTTGGTGAAAGAGAGGAGAGCAGCTGATGCTGTTTTTCTGAGTTTAGCAAAGCTGTCAACACAGTCCATGACAGTCTAATAGACAAACTGATGAAGTCTAGGCTAACTAGGTGGACGGTGAGGTGGATCAGCTCCTTGACTGTTCCTAGCTCTAGTTACCAAACCAGGGTGCCACAACAGAGACCTGAGTACTATGAGGCTCACAGCATAGTCACTCAGCACCAGTCACTCAGCACACCCGTGTAGATCCAGTCTGCCTCCCATGGGGCCCACACTCTTTGCTGCCAGCAGCTGCAGGCTTCCTCTGGCTGGGAAGCTGCTGAGCACCATGACAAAGGCTATTTGTTTCTGATGCTTTTCAGGACATGAGTCAAGGAGATGGCATTTTTGAAACCCAGAGGCAAATGAGAAAAAACCCCAAAACAATTGTACGTGTTGAGCTGTGGCATGCCGTCCCCACCACAAGGAGTGACTCGGCTGGTTAAGTGCAGGTGTCTGCTGTAGGGTGAACTCAATCTCCGGGCTTCATTCAACTGCTTATGCAGAGGTATCCACTGCTATTGGGGGTGCTTTGGGGTAAGAGGGCTGTGGGATATGCCACAGGTTGTAGGAGAGACCCACGTTCAATGGAAGTCTTCTGGGATACCCCAGGGTGTCTCAGCGATGCTGCATCACTAAAGGTGAGCAGTTAAACTGCATTTCTATGGCATAGACAGCTGAATTCAATTATTTGAATTGGGACCTAAATTCAGATTCAGGACAGAAATACTTGGATTTCTGGGGGAGATGTCAGGGTAGGAGTGGCTGCTCTGTGTCACCCAGGAGGCCAGATTAGAGCCATTCATCTGCTCTAAGCTCAGGCTCTCCCACCCTCTGAAATCTCCAAAAATCCTGTGGTTCAGCTACCAAAACAACTCTAGGATGGTACTGGTAGCTTTGAAGAAAAACAACAGAGCTGTAATTGAAACCTCTGAATGAAAGGAAGTGTTGCATAAGGTTATACCAACCTGGATCCCTCCTCTCTTTCTTACTTTCCTTTTTTGTGCGTGTTTAGTCTTCCACAACTCACTGATGTTTTTTCCTTCTTTCACTTTCCTTTTAGTTTTGCATTATTTCATATCCTTGTGTATAAAAACATTAAGGTAATATAAAGGACTCCATTGTGCCTGTTACCAAACAGTAGACTGTACCCCAGCACGTCAGGTACAGTCACTGAGCTCTACAGCACCCACTGGCTTGCAGCCAGGGCCACTTACAGAAGAGCCAGAAATACATTAATTCCTGTATTTCACCAGCTCTGCATGTGCTGCCTTGGCTGCTGTGATACAGCAAAGATAAAACTTCTTTAGAAGCAAGGAAGGTAGAAAAGCTTCCTGTGGTCTTCATTGAGACCACTGCTGGCTTCACAACACCGCAAGGCACGCTTTGGGCTGCATGTTGGTTATGATCTGAGCTGTTGTAGGTGATATGCTGGCTGGGCTGGCACCTCTTGGAGTGAGGGAGAAGTTCAGAAACCAGCTGTCATTTCTTTCTTGGGGTTTGAGTGTCTAAGGCACAAATGCAATAGTAAAAGGAGGAGCATACCTACTTGCAGTACCCTCTGTTTGGAGCTGTACTGGCAGACAGGGAGTTTTGGTGATACTTCTGCACTGCAAGATGTGCCTGGTAACCACTGGGCAAAGTTGCTTTTTCCTTCTGCAGGGGCAGCAAAGAACATGGTGGGGTGCAGGATAGAGCTCGTCCTTCCCTGTAGGATAGGCAGCCATACCCCTGGGCTGCATGCTGGGGAGCTGTGAGACCAACCAACCTCCTCTGGAAAGCACCTGGGTGGTCTTTGCAGGAGGACTGAAATCAGAGCTGTTGCCCACCGGTGACTCCCGCTCGTCCTGACCTGTTTATCAGCCTCAGGTTTAGTTTCGTGACGAGTAGGAATTCATACACCTGCCAAGTGAAGCAGCAAGACTGGGGAAGGAGCAGTTGGGTGGTGAGGACTCTCAAAACTTGAGCTGAAGCAGGTGGTGCTGGAGGTCAGACCCTGATGTTTGGAGGTGCCACGCATCTACAGCAGTGCTGTGATCCCACAGGGCTCCCGAACAGCATTGGGCCTTCAGCAAATGAATAACCAAACCCGGCAAGCCCCATTTACTACACCATGAAATGAACATCTTATTGAGGAGAGGAAATAAAAAAAAAAGAAAGAAGAAAAGTCAAGATGCGCACGGAGGTGCCAGGTTTAGCCAAGGCAAAGGAGCATCTCTGTGAGTACCTGGGCTCCTGCTCGTTTCCGTGTGGGTGTTTGGCTTTCAGCCCTCACCAGCTCCTATCTCTCAATCGCCGCCACCACAGGAAAATGCTTGCTGCTTACCGTGTCACTCTTTGCACACCACAGGCACAGCTGGGAGGGTTTTCAGGCTGTGGCACCGGTGAGACTCACAGCACGCACGTTCGTGGTGGCTCGTACCCACCTCTCCCCATCTCCCTCCCCCCATCCTCAATGGGTTTCTTTGTTTTTTAAGCTGAAGAGAGAAGCAGGCACTTCTTCTTGTGGTTTGCATCACAAGCCCTACAGTAAGCTTAACACCATGCCTGCTCTAGCAGTTGCTCAAACGTGCTCCTGTACAAGTCACTCTTATATTTGGCTGCTTTAGCTATATGGGACCACAGCTGGAGTGCAGAGAGCCCTGGCTCTGGTCAGAGAGGTGTTAAACCTCCTTGCTTTTCAGTTACTTAACTACAAGGGGTTATTCAGCACCTTCCTTCCCTAGTCTACGCTCTTGGGGTGTCCCTGCATTGGTGTCAAACGCAAACGGCTGTGCCGTTGCAAAGGAAGCGTTCCTAACAGTCATTGAGTGCGATACTGCCAGTCTTCAAATGCTTAGAAAGGCGTTCTCCAGTCTGGATCAGGCCATCCAGACTCCATCCGTAGCATGTGGACAGAGCCAGGCCCTCCCAGGACTTGGCTGATCCGGCCTCATTCAGGTGTCAGAGGAAGATGGCCTGAATCACCCCCTAATAGCAACGACCTCTGCACATCTGGCTCCGCAACCCCTTTGAGATACCGGACGCCATTTACAGACGTGTTGCCTTCTGGTAGCGAAAAGGAACATTTTACTCTCTTCTTGGATACCTTTGCACGGTGCCAAATCCTTGTTTTAGATACTCATCTGTGAAGTAGTTACAGTTGTTCAAATGCTTGCTGATCCTGTGTATTTACGGGTTGAATTTCCCGTGGGGGACATCACCCAGAAAGCGCAAAGCCATTTTAATGATTTTTCTAAGCACCTCTCTTCTTTATCCCTATTTAATCACTTCAATGCCTGTTTTCCACGACACAATTGTACACAACATTTTATTAAACTGTACAAACAGCACTGGCATTTAAAAAATTCATGTTAACTGTTCTAATTAAACATGATGACCAGCTGCACAAACTGTGAGCACAGATGCCCCTTACATTTCATACAGCACAAACCAGGATTTCACGAGAGTTACTGGACTGAAACTTTTTTCAGGGCACTTTGCTTTTCTTGTCGATATCAGGCACTTCTGCTCTTGGTCCTGCAGGATCCGGTTCCTGCAGTCGCTGCCAGCGGTACCCCAGCACTGCCTGCAAGGCTGCATTCATTCTGTTGGGAGGTCCAAGCTGAGAGCCTGGTCCAACAGAGCCAGAAAGGCACCTCTGAAGGGAATCTGATTTTGGGGTGACTCACCTTCTACAGCTTCTCTTCTCCATGGACGGGAGGAGTTCCTGCAATGAAGCTCCAAATGTATACACTTCAATTAGAGCCTAACACCAGCTGGCTGACTGCCTAAATCTAAACTACTACAGAATCCTCTATCTGGGCTTTGGCTTAATTTTGACCCAGTTTTTAATTGGTGTCTCAGTGACAGGCAGTAACTGTGTGGCTCTGCATCCCTCCGACCTCAGAAAACTGTGCATCTTTATTTAAAAGGATCCCATGATGAAAGGATCACAGAAAAGATTTGTTTTAACCCATCTACATTTCCACAGATTGTGAGGGGATAGAAAACACAGCAAAATGTCACGAGGCGAACGAGAGGACCACCCTCACCCGATGTGCTGTCCTGCTCTGTGACCGTTGGGTGCACCTTGTTGACCTGTGTCTGCAATGCATGCCAAGGAGCTGGGACATCATTTAGAGCAGTAGGAAAGATATCAGCCTTTGCAAGGACTGATTACTACCTTTCAAGTAAAATATGTCAATGCTGTGACTGGAAGGCCAGTTTTACAATGCTTAAACCATGGTTTGAGGAAACCTCTTCCACCTTTCTCAAGCAGTTATAGGATAAAACTCCAGAAAGCCCAGTCCAGATTTTGCTCTGGGCCTGGCGTGTGCAAGGACAGTTAAAGCTTTAGAACAGGGGTTCTCGAGGCTTTCTGAGGGACTGCAACTTCCCACCCTTTCTGATCAAGTACTAAGTGTAAACCACTGGTCCTGTGTATCGATCTTGACACTTGCCATGGCAATGATCCTCCTTTGGGGTTGAGTCCTTAGCTCCAGGGCTTCTGATTGAGATGTATGAATGCTGGAACGGGCACCTGCAAAGTCTCTTTGTCCCAGTGGAGCAAAATTGAATCCTAACTTCTGTGAACATAATTTTTAAAGTGTGTAGGGAGTTAAGTTACTTCTTCAAATCTCCTCTGCACACATGCAAAATTCTGCACATGTACAAGTGGAGGTTACCAAAGCACCTAGCCTGAAGTCTTTCCAGATGCCCTCAGACCTTGAGCAAACCACTTGTCCTTAAGAAGAAGTCGGGCCTAGGTGAGAATTGCAGAAATGGGCACTGACATCACCAGAAGCTCAAATATACTTGTTTTTTCTTACAGAGAGACTCAGTGGCTGTGTGTACAAGTAGTGGGGAACAGGTTTTGACACCTCCTCATTTTCAGATGCTCTCAACTTCATGAACATTGGGAAAGGAGAGAAGAGAGACCAAAAGTTACCACGAAGAAACTTCACCATTAGAGTGGCTGGCATCTGCTACAGACTGGAATAAGCTGGAAGCCTCCAGGTGTGGTCAAAACTTTCACTGAGGTGTTTTTCTGGTGGGTTCTTGATAAAAATAACCACGCACAGTCTTCAGTTGAAAAAGTGTTACTCAAACCATTACAGAAAATTCCTTCAGTAAGGCAGATCTCAGGAAAATATTTTCTCCATTTTAGGGTTCACAAAAGAAAAGTTGCTGAACATATTTTGGTCCATGCTGTTAATCAGTGCTCTGTCGGCACAGGACAGTCTAGGTTTTTCATTTAGAAATTCCTTGTCGAAGTTGCTACAGTCACTCGGAGATTTCTTCAAGAAAAGGAAAAAAAAGAGAATGTCAAATCACTAATATTCAGATCTTGATTACAACAGTACTGGCCCTATCAGACTGCTTCTTATGGACTCAGATCAACTAGTTGGGAGCAAGCTCAGCTCAACAGGGGAACCTGCAATGCATTTGGTCTTGGCCTTTTGCACAATGATTATTTACTCCAGCCCAAATGATGCACAGTAACATGTCAAACTGCAGAAGACTTCTGTCTGAGCTCTTGATACCCAGCAGTCAGAGCTAATAACTTGCTTATTACCATACTATTGAACTAGTAATGGGAATAAATATTATATAGGAGGCACTGAGCCTGTGATCCATGAATTCTTCCAGGAAGGGATGTTACAGCTGTCTAACATGGCAGACTGGACCCATCAATTAAATAAGACTTGTGAAGGACTGCAAAATGAAAGTACTATGCAAGTGTCAAATTAAATTATATTATTATTATCAATAGGTTAATAGGACTGTTATTGATAGTCAAGACCACCCTGATTTAAGTGACCACCTGGTTACCTGAACTGCTTTTCCTTCTTTACCTTCTGCAGTGCAATGAAAAATAATCCCTACAGAATGGGCTGTACTTGTGTGGTTAAGGGAACATGCTTTAAGTGGCATGCAGACTTCTGCCATAGTAACTGAGGAAGTGACAAGTAATTTATGGTTTCTCAGGTCTGGGCATGCCAGACTTGGGCTTATAGCCATCAGAAAGGAGTAGTCATGATGATCAAGCCAGGTAGCCCAGCCAGTAGAGGTACATAGTTCACAATTATCTTTCCGATGACTGGACGCTATGGCAGATCCAAACTGTTGATGGTTTCAGCTGCTTGTATCTGAAGTACACAGCATACCAGACAGCCTATGAACAATTTAATCTGCATTTAGACCTTTAAGAGTCAACACTTTCCATTCTGATTGCCCAAGACCAAGGCACTCCATTTACTTTTAGACAGAGAGGCTACATGTGCAGAGCAACCCCAGAAGACAACCCTGAAAGTTTGAGGGCTTTTTGAAAGCCTTAACTTGATGCCTGAAACTGTTATTTCCAGCATGAAGCAGATATTTATCCACCTTTAAAATGCTGACTCCGTGAACCTAAACAGGCTTTGAGACCTCCGACATTAAAGACCCATGTATGAAGATTTTGGAGAGAGACGCCAAATAAATGGGTTTATATCATTACTGTGGGTCCTGGCTTTGGTTTATTGCTAGCACGAGGTAGAAGGTCTAAATATTTGGGGAATGAACAATTCAGGAAAAGCTGGAATGAGATAATCCATTCTATGATTCTATGAGACAACTGAAAATAAAAGATGCATCCTTACCACTCTTGGTTTGAAAGGAGGCTCCATTCTTCTTTCTTCTAAAGCTTCCCAGTTTATTTCTCGGAAAAAGGCATGCTGGCGGATGTTACCTCTTGCTCCCAGTCTCCTCTCAGGTTCTCTCACAAAAAGCTAGAATGTTGAAGAAAGATAAATACCCTAGTCTTTCATCAATAACAGCATATTCATTAGGACAGTCCTACGAGATAGGGTCTCGGACTTCAAACTCAAGCATGCTTGGTGAGAATGTGAAGATTCTTTTAACTTACTAAATTTCTATTTGGGGAACCAGTTTGGATTCTTAGCCTAATATGCTACAACTGAGAGACCTTGGCCATATTTTTCCTTTGCAGGAGAAAGAGGACAAATTTGCTATAGTGGCAACAAAACGTGTATCTGAGCATGCAAATACACAGCTTCATGGGTGAAATATCTGGATCGCACCTGCAAGCTTTTGTCTGGACAATTTCTTGTTATCAGAAATTGAAATGCTTGAAATATAAACATAACTTCTGAAAATACTAGTCTGGCCTATGTGGGGTTGCATGCACCTTCTACACCTTTGGACACTTGGAGTGTCAGTATTTGACCCTTTGTAATTAATGGAGAAAAACAGACATCCGTTACACACTTAAAGATGAGATAGAAGACACCCTGGAAGTACTTGTTTCTTTCCACTGATTAGCTCAGATGCTGACAACTGTCTACTCTGTCAAAAGACTCCCAATTCATATAGCTTGTGTTTGCTGCACACTGCAGGCTACAAGTCCTGTGGATGACTAATTCTGCAGAAGGTAGGAAAAAACTAGAACTGGGGGCATATCTTTTCACCATCAGCTATGTGCTGGTCTGAGTCCACTCTTCAGTTTAGTGTAAACACAGCCTGTTTTGTCATAGATGTTTTTATGGTGATGCAGGAGTCATTTGGCTCTGGGAGCAGCTGAAGTGTTTCTGGGGGAGAGTTTCAGGATTGCTAAACGCTTCAGAGCTCCTCTCAACATTTGTGAGCAGCATGTAGTGCTGAAATATTGCTGTAAAGGTGGGTGTCAATAGTTGAAAATTTATCTTTGCATCTGTAGTAAAATGTCTGGGCCCTCTGGGCTAGCTGGTCCATAGCATGCCAGATCCTAGATGCCTCTAAAGTCAATGGAGAGGAATGGTGGCAACACTTGGTAACAGGTGACCTGAATACAGCCAGGATGTTCTACTTCAGAGGGAAGGGCAAATTTTCAAAAGCACTTTGCTGTTGGAGGTCATCTCAAAATGGACTTGGTTTACATATGATAGAAGTTTCTTGCTACCCTATTTGGCTAACAGTGAGCATACGATAGATACCATCAGCAAAGAACAAACAGAAATATCTAATGCCAAAAGTGGAAGCAGAAGAATCTGATATATGGACAATTGAGGGCCTGTTTAAAAAAAAAACCCAAGCATTGGGTGTTGGTGAACATTGTGGGCAAAGCCTCACCAAAACTGAAGTGTCCTACAGGCAACTGATTACACAGCAGTGCAGACTCTATAGGTCAAATTCTGTGCTGATAACACAGGCATTAAGCAGAGTCAGTGGCAATGAGAGTAGCCCATAGTGGAGAAAAGGTTTTTTTTTCCTAAGCAAGGAAGTTTATTGATTGATACAGAGATGATTGCCGTCTCTAATCCTGATAGAAATACAAGATGTTTGTGCAGAAGGATGGCAGCGAATGTCCCAGAAATAGATGTTCAAAATCTCAGTCTGCTATGGTATGTCTTCCTGAAAAACTGCTTTTGAATGTTTTCATTATTATAATTTTATAGTGATATCTAAACATCTGGGCCCAACACAGGTGCTAAAATAATCTCCTGTTCTCCATTTTTTTATAGTAGAATGCTGTATATTGCCCTGTCGCTTTGTAAATGCCAAAGTCAAGGTAGGGACTTGACTTGGCTTCAGCTGGGATAGAGTTAATTCTCTTCATAGAAGTTAGTGTGAGGCTATGTCTTGGATTTGGGATGAGAAAATGTCAAATTTGACCAAAATTAAAATCAACCAGTGATGAACAAATTACCTCATATCAGCTGAGCCATTATAACCTTCTCATGCTCTCTCACCATGCTGCATTTCAAGGTAGAATGCCTTAGCTTAGATCATGTTCAACATTAGTACAAGGCCTGACTGAGGGAAGGTAACTTACTAGACTAATTGTAACTTCACTGCATTTCTATCTTGCAACTCTAGAGTAATTTGCATCCCAAGCCAGAAAGGTTACAGTGCTAAATGGCATGGGGCTGAGAAGAAGGCACATGCTAGGTAGGAGACTGAAAAGGCCAAAACTCCAGATGACATGGTGCTATTAGCTTCAGTAGGTCCACCACTTCAGGACACAGCTCAGGCTTTGTTTTCCTGCTCTTTAGCTCAGTGCAAAGGTGCAAAATATTCCCTACTGAAAATCAAGCTGAACACCAAAGCAATCTACCCTAGATGTCCTCATATCTCTGAGGCACAAGAACTGCTTCAAAGACATAATTTTCAAGGAAGTCACTGTAACCCTTATTTTGAAGCCTGGCAGAATACCTTTTCCAGGAGTTAACGTGCCTTACACCTAGAAGATTGCTCTGCAAAGAAACTGATCTCTGCTTGGATCTGATACCCTGTGATCCTACTCACTGAATGTGAGAAGCCATCATCACAACTCAGGAGAAAGAAGACAGAAAGATGGACTTATGACCTAGGTCAGGTGTGCTTCGAGGTCCACAGACAAGAAAGTGACTCCCTCTGGTCCTATCACACTAAACATGTTTCTCTGAACAACAGCTGAAGATGCACAAATCAAATATGACAGTTCTGGCAAGAAGACTTTTGTTCAATGTGTGGTAAATCTTACCTTCACTAAAATGTCCTTGGCATCCTTGTCAAGCCAGCGAGGGTAGAACGGGTTATCCATACGGATAGACTGGAAAAGCTCCTCTTCATCTTGACCGTGGAAAGGAGACTGGCCAATAAGCATCTCATACAGGAGGACACCAAAGGACCACCAGTCAACGGAAGTGTTGTACTTCTGTCCCAGCAATATCTGCCCAAAGAGAGGAGTGACAAAGACAGTCGCAAAATGTTTGACATCAGTATTGTGACTTCAGAAGTGTGGCCAGACCCTGGCCTTTCAACAGCCACTTTGCACTGAGTGGGATAGTAGAGGAATGGGAATTTGTTCTCAGTCAGTCCATCGGTTTGTGCCTTTCTGTGTCAGCTGTAAAGTGAAGGCTACATCCAGTGTGTGGGGGCCAGGGAGGGTCAGCTGGAGTGATGACCTCCCCTAAGAAGGAATGTGGCATTTTCTTCCCTTACAAACCTGGCCAGACACTACCAAGGTCTCAAACTTCCCCTCTGAGGAATCAAAATTAATCTCACCTGCCTTTAGATATCTGTTATGGCGATACCTATAGCTGAATCAGTTATCATTAGCTCCTTTTATAGTCCAGGAAGAGAATTAGCCCTATTTTAAATATCCAGTTAAGTATCTACCTGCTGTAAAACACAACCCCCTACTTGCCTCCTTTGGTTATCAAGGAGCCTAGACAACTTGCTTATATATAGATATTTACATTGCAGATGTCTAAATATACATGTGATGTCTACGCTGTCTAGGATCCTTATCAGGATTTTAGGGCTGGAGAGGGGAATAGTTCATTTTAAGGCACAATCTTTACTCTTGAGCCCACAGCCCGGTGGCACATGTGATCCCCTATACTATAGGTGCAGAGTGGTTATCAGTGACAACCTATGGAGACAGCTTAATAGCAGTGAAAACAACTATCCAGGTCAGTACATATGAAACTGCTGACAGCTGAAAAATTATGATTTAGAGAGGTGATCTTTACTGCTGGCTCTGAGGTACAGTGCGAGTAGGTGAGCAATTTCTTCACTGTTTTCGTACCTTGTCTGCGTTGCTTGTAAATTGCCACTTGGGCCCAGATTAATCTTATTGCCTAAAGGTTATGTGCCTCATTAATTTAGTTATCCTGAGCCTCTGCACCAGGAGAGGTTTAGACTGGACATTAGGAAGAATATCTTTACTGAGAGGGTGGTCAAATACCGGAACAGGCTTCCTAGAGGGATGGTCAATGTCCCGTGCCTGTCAATCTTTAAGAGGCATTTAGACAATATCCTTAATAACATGATTTAACGTTTGGTCAGCCCTGAAGTGGTCAGGCAGTTGGACTAGATGATCATTGTAGGTCCCTTCCAACTGAAATATTCTCTCTTCTCTTCTCTCCTCTTTGCCTAGCCTAGCCTAGCCTAACGGAGGAAAAATGGTGATTTATTAAGGTAGGAAGGGATTACTTGTCTTCGGGATGTTTGCCCTCCTACAACACTGTAAAGTGCCATCAGATGCTTCACTTTTAGAAGAATTTTTTGATGTTAAGTGGGAAGAATCCCCTTTTAATGTACCAATGGCAACTAGCAAAGCAGGATCTTAATATCAGAAGTCTAAACCCAAGCTGATCTAGAGTGTTCATGACTAACACAACAGTCTCCAAAAATGCAAAAGAGGAGATGCAAAAAGGACAAAATATCCTATTTGAATATAAGGCAATATATACAATGTGTTTCACTCATAGTCAAAAAAAAGGAAGGACTCCCAAATATATTTATTCTGAGTCACTTATAAACAAAATCACCCCAACATTTCCTTCTGAAAAGACACATTTTTTTTATAAGGCTTTACCTTTTAAAGTAAAAAATGTCTGGAGAATGAAATTAAATATTTTATGGCAATCAAGGAAACAAATTATTAGCTTTGCAATTCTCTGGAAAGAATAAACACACTCAGAAATTTCATTTCAGGTTAAGTCTTTTTTTTTTTTTTTTCCCCAAATATATTTTTAAATAAAAAATTGCTTGTCTACTGACCCAAAGTCCCCTTATTTGCACGGCTGTAGCCAAGGTGCTGGGTCTGTAACAAATTACAGTGCTAGCAGCCACACTGAAATACTGACAAAATGTCCAGTGTTCCGGCCTCTGGCGGGAGAGATGATCCATAAACTCTAGCAGTGCTTTCAATTTAGAGGTAAAATGTTTTATATGCACTCGTATCTCTAAAATAAATGATGGTGCAGAAATAAACCTCTGAGCTATTTTAGTCTTTCTCTCTTCTATGAAGTAAAATAACAGATAATGGATTATCACTTGGTGCTCTTTTTTTTTAAGACCAGAGAATAGCTTTTTTTTCCTAAATAAAGGCATATCAAAGTGGAATAAGAGACAATTGCAGCTTGGCTGCAGAGCACACTTACACCTGCTCTTAGGCAATACAAAGCCAATTGATTTGAGGAGACAAGCCTTTGTGTCAGCAGTGGTGTAACCTAGATGAGAATCAAGCCCATGGTGCACAGGAAAAGATCAAAGAATTATAGTGGAGGGAAAAAACCCAAAAGCTTTAAAAGCTATTTGGAAAGTACCAATATCCATCATGAAAACACTAAAGTCAGGAAATGTGATCTTGAAAGGCAAATAAATGGATTTCAGAGTGATGTAGGACATGATGCATGGATGACTCGTAGGCTCTTCTCTAAGATGAAAAATGTTTTCTTTGGCCCCAATTTACCACCTAATTAGTCAAAGCCTCTCCATAGTAAGATCTGTCATTGTGTGAAGTCACCAGGTTAAGGGAGCTTTCTCTCTTCTGGAGGGATCTAGTCCAAAATATCTAAATCTACTAGGAAAAAAACCCCAAAAGACTCTGTCTGGGAAAAAAATGGAAAGAAATAAGGGGAAGGGCAAAGGATCTCGCTATGGGCAAGCTGCAGTCTCGTGTCTGTGACCATCCAGTTTTATTGCATGGACACATGTAGGCCAGGTTCAGCTTTTCTCCACCAAGTATCAGTAGATATCAACTACAGAAAGAATAGAGGAACTGCTGATATGTTTTTGCATGGAGCTTGGAGACTGTCTTTATGCACATCACCTCTGGCATTTGGAGGGGGAAAATCAGGATGTATGACCACTCTCATGCTTATGTCTCCAAGCATCTCAGTCCCTTCTAGAAGCAGCTATTGGTTGTTTTTTATCTACACAGACCTTCAAGCCTGTGCTCAGTTTTAAGTTTATGTCTCTGATGGCAGAGCCTTTTCAGAGCATATAGTGCCTTGTTCAGCTCTGGGAGGATGCTCATGATGCAGGCTGTGTTTTACAGCCAGCGAAGAACCTGTCTGAATAAGAGGGAAGTCCAAGCTTACAGCTGCCATCCCTATTCAAGCAGCAGAGCGTATCCCAGAAGGAAGGTGAACCCCAGTCCCTGCTTTATCATGGATCCAAC